AAAATAAATAAAAATAATATCAATTATTCATTAATTAATATTATTTATTTTTAATAATCAAATCAAACATATTTATGTTCCCCAAACAAATATCTGCGCGGTTAAAACCATGGCGAAACTTTGTCGACCGCGTTTTGATTGCATCATGTCACTGCCGCGTGTTTGGTGCAGTCAAAATTAAGTGGGGGTGGACAAACCGAAACTGGTTTTTAAAATAACCGAAATTTTTTTTAATTTTGAAAACCAAAATCAAACCAAAATTTTTATAAACTGATAAGTTTAATTACCAATAAAATTGATTCAATTTTGGTTTTTATTAAATAAATATTAATTAATTTTTTTATAATAATATATTATATTTTATCTCATATTTTATCATATTTTGTTATATTTAACTAAATTTTAGTTTTTAAAAGATTCATTTTTTGTTTTTGATTTGTAAAAAATTCAACCAAAATTTATTTGGTTTATATCAAAACCAAAATAATAAAATTTAAAAACCATTAAACCAAATCAAATTTATTTTTTTAGTTCAATTTTCGAGTGACCCTTCCGTTATCCACCGAATGCCCACCCCAAATTAAGCCTTCATTTGGGAAGGTTTTGTTGTGTTGGCTTGTCCTAAGACCCTAGGTTATTTTTAATTTATTTTTTTCTTATAGAAAAAATACATTAAATTGGAATTATTAAAATATAAAAAATAATAATTAAAATTAATTATTTATAATAAATTTATATTTTTAAATATAATATTTAAAAAATACTGTATAAAACACTTGCGAAAGAAGCTTAACAATAGGAGGCCATAAAAAATAATAATTAAAATTAATTATTTATAATAAATTTATATTTTTAAATATAATATTTAAAAAAATACTGTATAAAACACTTGCGAAAGAAGCTTAACAATAGGAGGCCATAAGAAATTAAAAATAATATTTTGTAGGGTAATTGTTTGGAGTATTAAACCAAATACCAACATTTTTTAACATTTAATTAATTAACATGGGATGGGAAATGGGATACACAACCCCACGGTTAATAGTACAAAGTTAAAGACAATTGATTAGTTAATCTAGATATATGTAGGCAATGAAGGAAACAAAACTATAATATTTTGTTTATTCAATAATTTGTGAAGATTGGACTGGGTTAATTTCAAAATGGAGAACTTCAATCCTATTTCAATTTTTTCATTCTATACAATAATACAAGTATACATGCATAATTTTTATTTTTTATTTTGGTTGTACAATGAAAAATTATTTTTTTTTATCCCTTATTCTACTTCACTCACATATTATGCCAATCAAAATAAGAATCTCTTAATTAATTTCTTATCTCAAGATTAAATTAAATTAAATTACTATTTATGAATTAGTACTCTCCTCCTCAACTTTAATTGGTTTAATTTTTAATTTAAGGTATTTAAAAGTAGTTAATCATTTTTTCTAAATGTCATTTAATACATTTATTTATATTTTACTATTTTTATTAAGATAATTACAACATCTTTTATTTAAAAATAACTATTATTTTTTACTTTTCCTTCAAATTATTCAATCTGTCCAAAAACAACTATTGCTTTTGACTTTTTTTCTTGAATTAAAAAATTTTAAATAATTTATATATTTATTTATATTTTTA